TAAAAAAAAAAAGAAAATAAGGAATTTGATTCAAAAAGTTGAAAAGAGTAAGTAATAAACTAATAAAAAGACTGAAACATAAACTAAATACAAGAAAAGATAAGAAGAGATGCGTCCGCCCCCTATATATTTGATACCTTCTCCTACAATGAAACTAATAACCCCAACCCCGTTAGTCATCCCATCAATTACTCGTCGATCAAAAAAATGAGTAAATTCTGCTAATCCTCTTATCCCACCAACTAAGAATCTTGTATAAAAAGCATCTATGTAAGCACGATTATATGACCAATCATATATGCCATTTATAATTTTGTCCCACAGAATTCTCTTAGGACCCTTTTTTAAAAAAAGAATTAATTAACTCAAAATTTTTTAAAGAAGAATAAATGGGTTTATATATTCAGATTAAACATGGTACCAGCAATTTCTGGTCTACTAACCCTGTTAGTTCCCCTCATGAGTCTGGTTTGTGGAAGAATATAAATGCGTATGGGAGGAGCACAAGGAAGAGACACAGTTAAAGCTAGGAGACAGCAAAAGAATAATTTTCTGGTATGATGATTGGCTGGGAGATGATCCTCTAAAAGACAGGTTTCCTCAGTTTTGAAGAAAATAGCTGGGCAACAGTTGAATAATGTAGTAATAATCAAGCTGGGAAGTGAAATTTTAGAAGGAATTATAATGATTGGGAAGTGACGAATATGCTAAGCTTCTTCAACTATTGGATAGCTCATAGGTTCAGCCTAACAAATCTGATTCTCTCATATGGAAATTGCATAGCAGTGGAACATTCTCAGATATAACATTTTGAATGCTCGGGCATTTGGGTTACTGTATGGCCTTTGCAGATGTTATAGGAAAACAGTGCCCCTATTAAGGTACAGTGCTTCAGTTGGACTGCTGCACATGAAGCAATTTTAACCCAGTATAACCTGCAGAGAAGAGGTTTGCATAAATGTAATCAATGTCACCCGTGCAGAAGGAATTAAAGATGCAAATCATCTTCTTCTTCATTGTCCAAGACCATGTCTTAGCTCCTTTCCCTTGGGGCTTTAGTTCACATGCTTTTAAAGCTACAGTTAGTATGATAGACTGTGTGCAATTACCATGGCTCTTTCACTGAGGGCCTAAAGTATTCTCACGAAACCATTCTCATTTTGGCATTGCTCAGGAATATGAGTTGTAGAGAAGGTTATTCAATTATTTCAGCCTAGCTCTTATGTTTTGGTATGATAAAGAGAGGAGAAATCTTTTATACACATGAATGTTGATGCCATAGAGCTGCTACCGAGACATCTCTTCGTCTAAAAATGACTGCCTCTATCTCAGAGTACCGTGAAATTGGAAAATTAAATTTATTTGAAGGTGCTAAATTTAAATTCCCTGGTTCTTGGACTGTCCTAATTCATATCACAACTTTCAGTTAATGAGATATTTCAGAGTTACATTTCTTTATACGTGCATGTTCAGTAATTTCCCCTTCTTAAGACTTTTAGTCCTTATTCATAATACAAGTTTCGTTTAAAAATATCTCGTTTTCTAGAAAACCAACCAAAAGAAACCGAAAGTCTCATGCAGTGACTGTTAAGGTATAATAAAAATGGTTCAGATAAATAAATTATTGAATAAATGAGAGAAGAAAAAAGTAATTTCCAACCAAAAACGTGAAAGCAGAAAGACCCAGTTTAAGAATAAATAAATGACCAAATAAAGACATTCCATCGCACCAGATTGGGCGCTATGCCACGAGCAACAGCTGCGCCACCAAGAGTGTATTCGAGTATCAAAGCCCAACCAATCAGCCATGCAACCCTGAGTAGAGTAACATTTTCTAGTGGTCACTGAGTGAAGATATCCTATTAAGCAGAGAAACCATGGAAAATGATTTTCAGGATTGACAACAGACTCCGGAAAAAGTCTATGCAATGATTTTCATCTTAGAACATTTTCTCCAATCATGATGTTAAGAAACGGTATGGATGAAATGATAAGGAATGTCCTCTTTACCCTTCTCCAATGCAGACATATGAGTAATGATATGCACTTCCAGCAGATGGACAACGACAAGCAAGCTCCGCATAACAAAATGCAGAGAGAGCAGCCGCTATTCCACCAATAAAGAAGGAAATGGTGAGAGAAGGTCCAGTGTGCTCTCTGGCAACTGTTCCAACAAGAATATAGACTCCAGCACCTATGGTTGCTCCAACACCTGATGGAAGTAAGGTTAGCAAATCAAAGATCAGTGATGCTTCAAAATCAACTCTCACTGTTCAACAAAAAACTGAGATGACGTCAAGGAAAAAATAAGGAAAGGTCTGAAAACTAATTATTGGCATTGCCTATCTAATTTTACTTGAAACGGAAAGGAAATGCAGTCCTCTATCCAGGGAATAATGAAAAACAAGCAGTTATCGTTTACAATATCAGAAACTCAATTGAAATTTACATGACCACTCAATTATTTCCAGCAAAAGTTCAAGGTGTCAGACAGAAGATCCACAAAGCGAAAGAGATGACTGAGATTAGAAAGGATGACTCACCAGATACACAAATTCAAGGATTCTCATCGCACAAGATACCAGGTTTCTCTTTGCATTATTAAGAACAAGATCAAACCCATTCTTACTAAGAATTATACTCCAAAACTTACAGAGTAAAAGCAGTGAGGTAATGGAGCAGATGAGGTTAAAGTTCAACTACGGGAAGCTACGGACACGAATTTTCAAAGCCATAACTTGTGTAAAAATGTCACAACCGGAGTATTAAATGCCAGTTTCTCCTACTAATGAAAAGGTGATACACGAGGTAAGATATAGAAAGTGAACTAAGTTTATTTGACATAAGAGATACCTATACTGTATGACCAAAAGTTACTTTACTGGATACTCATGAAAGTTGCAAGCTACTAAGATGCTTTAAATAGTGTTTTTACATCTTTATAGCAAAGCTATTTCTTAATACCATAAGTGGAAGAAAAATAAAATTAAAAAATCTGGATAGCTGCAGAGTTAAAGGAAGCATACAATGTGTCATGGGCGGCTTTCCAGCCATGCCCCATGACCCCTTGGGCGCGCCCCGTGGCGTCCTAGCGAACCTCCCAATGCCTAGCGCCACGGACGGCCCCGTGGTCTTGGCCGCGCCAAGTGACAAGCGCGCAGGTGCCTCTGTCGCCCCACCGATATCCCTCGCGAGCGCCAAGCCGCAGGCAGAAGCCAACAGCGCCGCGCGCGCAGACCGTGATGCCAAAAACACTGCTGCTGACAACGAACCTGCTGCTGCCTTATAGAAGACTAAGTCATTTTCATTGTAAATATAGAGTAGTTTTATTTCATGCACTTCCATTATGTTTCTCTAGCTTAATTAGGTCTACTCCTGTAAGTTTGGATTATTTTTTTTAAGTACTATTAGGGGGGATCAAGCAATCAAAACTTTCTAGCAAGCAAGCAAATCTCTGTACTGGTGTCTCTCCCCCTCGACACCGCGTTGCTTTTCTGTAATAGCTTTCATTAATGCAGTCAAGCTTTCTTTCATTCTGAATTCTCATTTCTGTTCTCTCAATTGCTCTTGATATTGGTTTTCCCGTACGGCACTGACAATCTCGTCTAGCGTACGGAGGGGACCTCAGTTGGCGGACAGCAACTGCACTGACATCAGTTGCCTAGCCGTACGTCGCCCTTCCAAGGAATCTCAGGAAGGCACCGCGTATCATAACACAGTCATACACAAAAACCTACTAGCAAAAGATAACTCACCCGTCGCCAACCACGCTGTTTCACTTTCACCACTCCAACTGAGCATTAAACACAGTAAATTGAATGCTACAGTAGCCTATGAACCTATTTACTCAACCAATTTTTCACTTCCAATGAAACATAATCATTCCACACCATGAGAAGACTGTAACGACCCGACCGGTCGTTTTAAGAATTAACGCCCCGATCCCCTATTAACTGTTTTTCCTATGTTTATTTCTGTTATTGTGAGTTGCCGGGAGGATTTATTTGGAGTTTCGGAGAGTTTTGGGACACTTAGTACCTAAATGAGAGTTTAAGTTTTAGAATTTGGATTGTAGTCGGAGCAGTGTGAAGACGGACTCGGAATGAAATTTCGTTGGTTCCGTTAGCTCCGTTGGGTGATTTTCGGCTTAGGGGCGTGTTCGGATTGTGTTTTGGGGCTCTGTAGCTTAATTAGGCTTGAAATGCCGAAAGTTGAATTTTTGAAGTTTCCGGTTTGATAGTGAGATTTTGATATCGGGATCGGAATGGAGTTCCGGAAGTCGCAGTAGGTCCGTTGTGTCATTTGGGATGTGTGTGCAAAGTTTCAAGTCATTTGGACGAGGTTTGATAGACTTTTTGATCGAAAGCGAAAATTTGAAGTTTTGGAAATCTTTAGGCTTGGATTGGAGAGTGAATTGTGGTTTTATCGTTGTTTGATGTGATTCGAGGGTTGGAATAAGTTCGTATAATGTTTTAGGATTGGTTGGCATGTTTGGTTGAGGTCCCAGGGGCCTCGGGTGAGTTTTGGGTGCTTAACGGAAGTGAATTGGACTTAGGGAAAAATCTGAAGGTTGCTGAAGTTTGCTGAGGTCTGTCATAACCGCACCTGCGGTTGAGGGACCGCAGGTGCGGCGCTGCAGAAGCGGCTTGGTGACGCAGAAACGGATTTGGTCCAGGCTCCAAAAGCCGTAGGTGCGAGAAGTCGAACGCACCTGCATGAGCGCAGGTGCGGTAAGGGAGTCGCAGGTGCGGAAACTCCTGTTTAATGAAAAGTCGCAGGTGCAACTTGGTCTACGCAAAAGCGGGACCGCAGGTGCAGTCCCAGAGCCGCAGATGCGGTTTCACTGGTCAGAAAAGGGGAAGAACGAGGGTTTGAAATCAAAACTTGGAAAATTGAATTGGGAGCTCGGTAGGAGGCGATTTTTGGAGAGATTTTCGGAGGGAGTTAACTGCTAATGATTCTTAACTCCTTTTTGCTTATAACTCATTAATCTAATCATGAATTCATCATCTAATTTCAGATTTGGGATGAGAAATTGGGAAAAAATTTGGAAAAGGTTCTTAGGCCTAATTTTGGATTTTGATCAAGATTTTGATGTCGGATTGGAACAATTTTGGTATGTATGAACTCGTGAGAGTGTGAGGGTTCTAAATTTATAAATTTTACCCGATTCCGAGATGTGGGCCCGGGGGCGTTTGGGTCATTTTTCCTAATTTTGCGTATTAGCTTAGAATTTATTAGTTGAATTAACTACTTGAAGTGTTATTTACATTATGCTATTACTTTGAGTAGATTTGGGCCATTTGGAGTAGGATACTCGTGGCAAGAACGTGGTATTGAACTGATTCAGTCGATTCGAGGTAAGTGGCTTGTCTAACCTTGTGTGGGGGAACTCCCCTTTGAATTTGGTACTGTGATATTTGAAATGCCTTGTACGTGAGGTGACGAGTGCGTACTTGTGCTGATTGTTGCAAATCCGGTTTTTCATTAAGTATCTAAAATTTCGTATTTCTTCACTGCTTACATTACTTGAAATTTGAGCTTACTGTTAGCTTAGGGAATCATGCCTAAATGATTAAATTGCTTAATTCCTCAAACTGCCTTATCTGAACTCTGTGCATCATGCTAGGTTAGAATTACCTGTTTACCTTGATATGAAACTGGATTGAGTTGGTTATTCTTGTGTTGTTGTTGTGTGTTTACATTGGGACTACGGGCGGTTTCCCGGTAGATCCCCCTTGTCTGTTTATTTGGGACTACGGATGTGGTATTCCGGTAGATCCACCTGTACAGCGATATGGATTACGAGACAGCACCTGGGAGATCCACCGATTATTTACTTTTGGGGCTACAGGACGGGATCCTGGTAGACCCCCGGTTGTTATCTCTGCGTTGGTTGTATACCTTCTATGATTATTTGCCTTGGTTGTAGTGTTGTTTCTCTTATTATCTGTATTTCTTTACTACTACTCATCTTCCTGTTGATACCTAATTTTTCCTCACATATTTTTAAACATATATATATACTTTCAAAATATTACATATGCAGTTATAAGCATGCATAAGTATTTTTATAATTTTTCTATAGTTTTAAAAGCTCCAAATCAATTTATTTCTTCTCTTTTTATTATATAAATATCCAATAATTATCCTCCCAACTACTTTTATGATGATTTAGCCATATAAATTCATTATTTATGCCAACATAGTGTTTAAATATTTTTAGTGCATTTTTGTAATTACATTTGTATTTTTTTAAGCTAAATCGCACATCTTTGCAATAATAGCCCATACTAATGTATAGTTACATTATTTATGCATAAAATAATATTTTATATTTTTAAGATGCTACATAACTATTTTAAATCATTTTAGTGCACTAAGATATTTTTGGTACTCATTTATTATTTTTTATAAATTATTTAGTTTTTAAAATTGGCTATTTAAAATCTGGCCCCATTTTCTATTCAATTCTGACCCTAAAATTGACCCAATACCCAGCCCAATTTCAACTTAAAACTACCCAGCCCAGATCCAGCACTCACCCGGCCCATCTCTTGTTAAATCCTGGCCGTTGATCATTGTGATCAACGGACCAGATTCCCCCTTTCCTAAATTAAACTAAACAACCCCCCCCCCAACCCGGCAATTCTAACTCAAACAGTCGCCTTGAAATCCCTTTCCTCTCAAATGCTCTCAAAACCTAACCCTAATCGGACCTCGTCGTCACTCATCTATGGCCATCCATGGTGGTTTCTCACCACCCCCAGGCCTCCAATGGCCTCTCCTATACTGGTATCACCATCTCCGGGGTCCTCAAGGGACCAGGGTTACTTTGCTTGCATCTAAGGCCCTTTTTCGCCTGTTTCAGGCTGTTCCGGTTTGATTCTGAGTAAGATCTTCCTATATTGCCTTAGATCTATGGGTTTCTAATCTTGCTTCTTCACCTCTGCGTTGTTCTTCTCGAAGCCCTATTTTTTGTCCTTTGAACTTCTCAGATCTGTGCAAGATCTGAGATAGATCGAACCTATTTCGTATGTGTTTTACAAGAAACTTCTGATTTTTACAAAAACCCTTTGATTTTCGAATGGTTTTCCATTTTTCTAAACTAGGGTTTCCCGGAATTTTCTTTTTTCAAAACATTTGATAATTTTGAGTGTTTAATCTTCTGTTTCTTATGTGTTTTAACCGATTTTGTAAGGTTTGCTCTAACCCTAACTCGTTTATGCTAAAAACCCTAATTTTTCAACATTTTGCTTCGTTTCTGAG